AGGGTCCTGGCTGCAGCACCGGAATGGCAGGTGGAGCCAGCCAGGCCACGCAGGGCAGCACAGCTAGGGCAGGGCATGGGTGGTGTGTGAGAAGAGGCTGGCCGGTGCGGGTGTCGGGCCGCGAAACTTTCTCGGGTTGCCCAAGCCTCCGCGGTCTTCCAAGCAAGCCAAGTCTGCTTGCATTCTGCCTTTCTGCCCTGGCTGGCTGGCTGGCTGGCTGGCTGGCTGGCTGCCTAAGGGCGCCGGCTGCAGCGGCCCGGGTTCCGCTCTGGCTTCCGCCCTCGCCTATGCCACCGGCTCTGCCGGCTGCGCCCTGGCCCGGGCTGGCTTCCCCGGTCCAGCGTCGTCCTGTCGTCTCAGCCGCTGGGCCATCGCTGCCTTCTTAGCTAACCGCCATCCCATCTCTTGCCCCTTTAATCAGCCCCTTTCTCGACGACTGGTCTCGAAGCCAATCCTTGCTTTGGAACTGCCGCGTCAAAGGAGCCCGTTGGCACCATATCTGATCTTCATTGGACTGCTCAATGTGACTCCGATGGGCTGCTCAAGCTCGTCAAGAGAAGCGCACGGTCGTAAGGACGGAGAGGGACGCTATGGATCGGAGTGTCGGCTCGCCTTTCCCGCCTCGGATTGAGCTCGATGCGCAGCAGATAGGGCAACCCGGGCCTTTGCGAGCACTGTACGCGTCCCGATCGAGCTCACTCGTCCTCCAGGACGAGAAGCGACCTGTTTCTGTTGGGCCGCGCAACGACCGGTCTCAGCTAGTCTCTCGCGCTCCCTCCTTCTCGCAGCGGATTCTTTAGACGTGGATTCGGAGCCAGACGGTCGAGCAGCTTCGCCAGGAATGTCGTGCTCTGAGGACTCCGGCTCGACGAGAGCGCGGCTGTGCGTGTCGGATCTCTCCTCGTCCGCAGCCAGCGAGGGAACCTGACGACAGCGCGGCAAGCATCCCACTCATTGGGCGCTGCAGAGACGCCGTCACCGCCGCCATCGCTGCGCGATCCCGTCTCGGTAGGGCCTGACTCGGGCTGGGCTAATCGCCCTGTCTTGTCGCAACGCGGGCGGGGCGGATCGGCTTGCTCGCGCAGCCCCAGCCGGACGCGGTATGGATCATAAGCCGCCGGGTGCTGCAATCGCCGTCGCTGCTCGGCTCCCGAGGCTGAACGTATGTCCTGACCGTGGCTCTTTCGGCCCGGGTGATCCTCGGGGCCGTCGCGGGGCAGGGAACGGGGTAGGCAGGCCGCCATCGGAACAGGTATCGGCGAATGGAAATTGCTGCAGCCTCACGGGTGTCGGCAAAGGGAAGGAGGCAATGAGGTAGGTCGGGGAGCCTCAGGGGAGAGGGGTCTGGATGGCGGAAGTGTGCGAGGTAGGACCTCCGCCTCTGCAAAAGAGCAATATCGAGGCGGATGTCAAATTCGCCTGGGCTGGCGGCGGCGACCTTGCCCAGGAGGGAGCCCGCACGGTCGACGCCATCGACTTCCAATCGCCGTCCAATCTGTCCCGCAGAGATACCGTACCTAGAGCGGTGAGACCTAATTGGCATCCTGAGCGCTAGACCAGCACAGGACACGTCGACCCCAGAATAACACGACTCCCAATCCTGAGACACACACACGAGCTCCCTGATCGGCGAACGCGTGAAGCCCGTCGTGCCTGCGCCGCCAGCCTGCCGCTCGTGAGCTGTGGCAATATAGCGAAGAGGTTCACCCGCTACTCCGCCACTTCATTGGCCTGTCCTGTCATTTCCAGCGGCGAGATAGAGTCACAGGTGGCGCAATCACTCTATGGCAGACATCGGGGTCCGGGGTTGCGCTCTTTCATCGTGCCGCGCGGACAGCCTCGCAGCTTGAGCTGCTGGCCTGAGCACTCTCATCTCGTACCTGCCGTTCCTGTGGCCTAGTAGATGATGCTATTTCCGGACCAGCAAGGCCAGCCTATGCCTCCTGCCCCGCAGTCGCATGGTCCGTCTGCCCGATCTCGACCGGCAGTGAGCGTGGCGCGGGTTGCTCGGTGATATAGTTGCCCGTCGTCGACAGGCCGCTCCTCCTGCGATCTCGTTCAAAATGGGTCGCTCTTACTGCTGGCTCCTGAGTACCAGCCTCACTCATATGGTATCCTTGCGAGCTATACAGGCGCGGTCGAGTCTATGCAAGAGTCGCCAGGTACTGCGGCACCGACCACTCTGATATATCCTTAAAGTGCCCTTTCTCCCGCTCGACGAGCCAGATTTCTCGTGACATTGAGATAGACCTACATTTACCTGGCATCTCTTGCAGCGCTACTTATTGGGCACTCATCAGCTTGCCTATATGGCATGGTCGGCTGTGCAGTCGTTGCTGTCTTGATCTGCTTACTGCTGTCGTTCGGAGCTACATGCAAACCCGTCAGGACGAGGTGGCGCTAGCCATTCGAGCAGCCATTTTTGTCTTGATTTCCGCGTCGCATTTCCCAGCCTCGCCTTTGCCTTGCTTTACGGACTTCTCGGTCGAGATGTAGATTCATGACACATGCCAAGCGATCCTTACGCCACCATCCTGCCATCCCTCGCGGCGACCATGGGCGAATGACGCTTTTACTCGCCAGTTGTGTCAACCGGCGGTGCGACTATGAGCCGAAGGTGCCCCAGCGATCATGCTTCGAGAGGGGCCTGGGTCGATGCCAACCAGACCTCGCATCTGCACAACTTGGGCGTCGCCCGAACGACCGTATATCGAGGTGATGACAGACCGACTCTCGTCGCTGCTGGTCCCTGGGCTCGCACGCACTGCCATACGTGTCATCTCCGCGTGCTCGACGCGGATAATGCTCTTGTAGGTGAGGATGTGGCGAGCCGCCCGCGACACCAAGACCGGTGAGCCTACTCGTACCGCCAGCACGCCACGCTATGCCCGCACTCAGTGAACTCTGTGCAGTACGGGAGCGCACATTTGCCACCTATACCTGCCAACGCCATGGGTGGATCGACACACCGACGATCGTGGCAAGGCACGCCTTGGACAATGGTCCTCGGGCTCTACAGTAACAACAGGTCCGTTCGGACTCGTTGCCTGACCTTGGCGGCTCTGCCTCCCGTGCGTGCTTGTCTGCTTCGTTCAGCTTTCCTCAAAGGAACTGCCTGCCTGCCTGTCGGAGGAAGACCCTGGTCGGTGCTCCGCTCTCAAAAACGTGGACGCGTGCGTGGGACCAACATTTCGACTCGCGTCCATCGAGATGTGCATCGTCCGCATATCCACCCGTACCTTAGTCGTGACAGATGTGGTTTTTGCTGCTCACACCTGGCCACAGCCTACTGCTCAATGGCCGCCGCCACGAGGTGCCAGACCGAGCCTCAAAGGCGCAGGTACGGGACCAGGAGGGACCGCCGCGCAGAGGACGCGATACATAACCGTACTGGCCGACATGCAGCCAGAGCGGTACACGACAGCATGGTGTCACTACTGGTACTGCGCACAAAATTCTCGCGGCTTGCCTCGGGGATGGCGATGTGTAGAATCAGGGAAGCTGGGCTGGGCCAAGGACCCGAATCCGTCGTGACCGGCGATTGAAGGGCGCTGTGGACCTGGCAGAACGGCGACGTCCGTTGCCGTCCCACTTCCGTCGGCCGAAGGAGGTGTCCTCTCTGCACAGCGGCCAGGTGTCCACACTACCGGCTTGGGAACCGGCAACGACATCCGCGATGCACAGACGAGGCCGACCTTGATAGACATACCGACCGCAAGCTCGGACCCCAGAGCAGTCTCTGGCAGTGGGTGCCCTCAGCGTGGCGGCGCGATATCCGGCAACACTCTGCAAGCAAGTCGCGACGAAAGCGGCAGGTACCGATCCGGCGGATGAAGCTGCTGGACGCTCGGCGCAGCTCACCTGGCTATGGGCTGAGACATGCTGATCTCCTGGAAGTTTGGATACTGTAGCGGCCAGGAAGGCAGGCGCGGGAGTGAATCAAAGTGGCACGGTACGTACGCCAGAGTACTCTGGACCTCGACCGACCGTTTTGCGGCCCTCACTGGTCCGCCGCGAGCCATCCTGCTTGAACCCACCTACGGCGGAGGTCGCGACCGCAGCATCAGCGGTGCTGGCGCGACGAGATGGACGGCTAATTCACCTTGGCGAGATGGCCGGCCAAGGGTCGGATTTGGGCACGGCCAACCCTGCTTTGACCGCAATCAGTGACCCCAGCGCACCACGCTCCATCTCCAACTGATGCGGGGGCCGAAGTACAGGTAACATCGTGGCCCTGGTCGGCGGGGGACACCAGCGCGTGCTTCCGCCATGGCAGCAGGGGCCACAAGACGGCGCATCCATCGGCGACCCACTCAAGCAGGCGGGTAGGCCGCCCGCAACACGTTTCGCATCGCGGCCTCGGAGCAAGAGTTGCACCGCAGAGGAGGCCAGCAGGCCTGAGAGACAGGCAGAAGACCAAGGCCAGGTACGGGCGGCTCAAGCGCGTCTGGGGTGGGTCGTTGTGGCCGAATCGGGGCAGGTCTTTGCTGGCAGCCCGCCTCCCGATGGTCGGCCAATTGCGCGGCCAAAAAAAAAGAGCGCGGGACACGGACATGCCGAGGGCTGTCGCACCCGAGCCGAGGGCCTCGGACCACCTTGCTCCATGACCGCTTAGACGCTGAGGGGAGAGGCAGGCAGGTGGCCATCGGACCCACCGGCCGAAGGACGTCGCAAGCATCGTCCTGATACGGGCTGGCAGGAAGGCAGGGGGCAGATGGATCGAGGCGAGGAGACGATGGCGAGACCTGATGTGCGCGCAGGAGGCGGCGACGAGGGCATCAGCCTTAAGGAGCGACCAGTGCGCCGCCCGCTGTCCTTGGCTCTCGACTCCACATCGTCGGATCCTCGTACGTCTTCCATTCGCTCCCCGCCTCACCCGTCGGACCGCTCCGCTGCAACCGCTCTGCCAAGTGATCACTACTACCTCTCGTCGCCGCCGGCCATCGCAAACGACGCTGCAGCCAAAGGAGCAGAAGCACACTCGACGAAAAGACACCGCCATGGTTGAAAAGGCTGCTTCCACTGCCGGCCTTCTTGGCCACGCCGAGCCCGCGGCATCGGCCCGCGCTCCGCGACGCGGCGGCTTCAACGCCGTGGTCAAGGCCATCCTGGTCTCGGCCTGCACCGCCATCTTTGTTGGATCGGCCGTGCTCCTCTGCTCCTCGCACGGATCGACCGACGAGCTGTACTTTGCTCTCGGAAGGTACCTCGATGTGCCCCAGCCCTCGCACCTGACCGCCTCGTGCCCGCAGCAGCAGCCCTACCAGCCCAAGGGTGAGCCCGCCTCGGTCGCCCTCGACGTCCTCGCCGACCGCCTCAGCAAGGCCATCCAGATCGACACCACCGTCGGCGACAACTGGCCCAGCCCAAAGGACGACCCGGAGAGGTGGCGCGCCTTTGACAAGTTTGCAGACTACCTCCGCACCTCTTTCCCGCGCGCCCACGAGCGCCTCGAGCTCGAGAAGATCAACGAGCATGGCCTCTTGTACACCTGGAAGGGCTCCCAGGGCGACCTCAAGCCCCTCCTCATGATGGCCCACCAGGACGTGGTCCCCGTCAACCCCGAGACGCTCGGCCAGTGGGTCCACCCTCCTTTTGACGGCTACATTGACCGCGACAACCAGACCGTCTGGGGCCGCGGCGCCACCGACTGCAAGTCATGGCTGGTCAGCATCATGTCGACCGTCGAGGCCATGCTCGAGCGTGGCTTCGAGCCCAAGAGGACCATCCTGTTCAGCTTCGGCTTCGACGAGGAGAGCAACGGCCCCCAGGGCGCCGCCCACCTCTCGGCCCGGATCGAGGAGGTCTGGGGCAGGGACAGCATTGCCATGCTGGGTGAGTGACTGGAACGCCCCGCATGCTACATACCGGGAGGGAAGGCGATGGTCGCCGAGACTTGGCGTTGACACTGTTGCACCCCCACGGCCGCCTCCACCATTGTCGGATCACGTTTGCCGTCGCGGAACGAAAACAGTCGACGAGGGCAACCCGATCCTTTCGGCTTCCGACCCCATGGCGCCCGGCATCAGCGTTGCGCTGCCTGGCGTCGAAGAAAAGGGACTGTGAGTAGTTTCTAGGGTCTAGCGTGATTCCCGAGCCAGCACGGGCTCGATTGGCCGGCGGGAGCTGACCTGGCCACGTTGCCCTCTCGACTCCGATGCCGGCCATCCACCAGGCTCGACATTGAGGTCACGATCGAGACGTCGGGCGGGCACTCCTCCGCTCCTCCGGTAAGTTATTCGTGGCTTTTGATTTTCGCCGCCCGCCACCACGGCCCGAGTGGTGTATTGAAGGCCCGCCGCTTTTGTTCCCATGTGTCTTGGCCGCCCTCTCATCCTCGCGCTGGCCTTCATGGATGCAACAGCCTCACACGTCCATCGGACTCGTTTCGCGCGCCGTTGCCGCTCTCGAGGACGCCCGCGACCGCCTCGAGGCCGACCACCTGATCGACCACAGCGCCTCGCTCACCTTCCTCCAGTGCATCCGCGACGCCCCCGGGTTCCCTCCCAACCTGCGGACCGCGCTTAAGGACCTGGACTGGGCGTCGCGATCTTCCATCTTTGGCGACGCCTCGGCCATCGCGTCCTTGCCGCTCCCGTCGGGCATCGACGCGCTGGCCGCCAGCACCATCGGCCGCATCCTCGACCGAGGCAAGAACCGCAGGATCCGTCGGGCCAAGGAGCGCATCGTGCACGCCATGCCCGACCAGCTGCGCGTGCCCTTCCTCACCACGACCGCCGCCGACGTCATCCACGGCGGCGTCAAGCTCAATGCGCTCCCCGAGTCGGCGTCGGCCTTCCTCGACCACCGCATCGCGTCGTCGAGCGGCATCGACAAGCTGCACAAGCACTACATCAAGACCCTCACGCCCCTCGCCCGCGAGCACGGCCTGTCGTTTGAGGCGTTTGGCAACGCCGTCAACGTCACTGGAGGCGCGGCCGGCTCGCAGGGCAAGCTGACGATCAAGCACCTCCGCCAGGGCTTTGAGCCCGCGCCCAACACGCCGCTCGTCGGCGACGAGGCCGCCCCCTGGAACCTCTTCTCGAGCATCATCCGCTCGACGTGGAAGAACGAGGACGGCTCGCCCGTCCTCGTCGCGCCCTCGATGATGCAGGGCAACACCGACTCCCGCTACTTTAACGTGAGTGCTTCAGGCCAGCCGGCACCGCCTTGCGTTGTACGAGTGCGCATCCGGTCATGGACTGACGCGCGCCCCTTTTGCTCCTCGTTGAATGGTTGATGGCAAATGCTGCAGAACCTCACCAAGCACATTTTCCGCTTCGGACCCAACACGGTCATGGCCGACAAGACGGGCCTGGGCGCCATGACGGGCGTGCACACGATCAACGAGCACTTTGCCATCCAGGGTCTGGGCGATGCCGTGCGCTTCTACTCGACCCTCTTCCAGGCCGTTGGCGACGAGAAGCTCTGATGCGCCGAGCGTCCGCCCAGCCCCGCCGTTGGTCGAGCGAGACTGACTGGCGTGTTCCTCGCTCGACACGCACAAGGGCAGCCGTGGAGGCGGCTAGCTGCCCCCGCTTGAGTCCGCAGGATATGCATGTTCCGTTTCCTTCCGATGTAGTCAGCTGGCTAGGTAACAGCAATGTATGAGGCGCGAAGCAAAGAAAGCGACAACCTCTCCGCATCGCGCGGGTCTCGCATCTCGTAACCTGCCCTACTGTGTGCCTTCCGGTCTACAGCTTTGCCTGGGCCTTTGCCGGGTTGAACCACCTGGGCGCCCGTTTCTGAGCCCATGAAGATGGCCAGGAGCAAGGGGGGGGAGTGCGAGACCACACGGCCATCGCGAGTCAGTCTCGGACTTGCCACAAAGGATCCAACGCAGCGGGCGGGTAGACGAAGGGGGACAGGGGCTCGGGGCAGACTCACGTTCTTAAAGGCCTCGAGGCCCTCTGCGATGTTCTGGCCGACGTTGAGGAGGCGGCTCCTCTCTCCCTGGACGCCGGCGCGGGCCGAAGCGTCAATGTCGTCGCCGGCGGCGTCGCGTGCGAGGACGAGGGCCTCCTTTGTGGCAAAGAGGCTGTCCGGGCTGTTTTCGGTCATCTGCCTTGCGAGGTCGAGGGCGACGGCCTCGACGGCCTTTTGGCCTTCGTCGATGGGCGCCGACTTTTCGACGGGCACCAGGCGGTTGATCATGTTGTACCGGTCGTGGGCCTCCTGCGCGGTGATGGTGTGGCCGAGCAGGAGGAGCTCCGAGGCTCGTTGCTGGGCGGTGAAGAAAGGGAGGGGGGGGGGGGGGGGAACGAGTGGACGGAGATCAGCGACGTGGGACGCAGGTGTCAAGTGCCGGGTGCGTCGGTGCGGACAGGGAAAGG